CACATTCCATTGTGATCAGGGTATGATCTGACCATGACAAGGGGGACACCAAAAGCTCCCCCAATTTCAGATCTCATAGACACTGCTCTGGCAGGAACACCAGATCCGGTGTATGACCACTGTTCCGTGTCAGGCTCTGGATGATTTGGGATAGGCCCACGGCTGTCATGGTGGCCATAAACTCCCGAGCCCCCTCAGACCCCATCCCTAGAGAAGGCAAATTGAAGTCCCCCAAGATCCACTTGAACCCCCTCCTCATCAATTGGGAGATGAAGCAAAAATGTCTGCCTTGATGCCTTCATCAGACATGTGCAACTTGCTTTCTGATTAAATCTTTGGATTACTGAGAAATAAAACTCCAACTACAGATATGGCACAATGCAAATGAATGTAAGAATGTTAAAAGGCTTCAGTGGTAGCACCATGCTCTTGTGTTTAGCTATAGAAAACATCTCTCTCTCGTGTGTATATATTATAATACCTCATAATGAAGGAATATTGCTTCAAAATATGCTGGAATTTTTAAAACTCTGACAAGTAATTAAATCCATTATTTCAGTTTTAGATTAATTAATGCAGTATTGTAGACATAACTGATTTTCTCTTCCTAGAATATTGTACATTTTTGTTTCAGTACAAAAAGAGGAAAAGCTAACAGAAACAAATCACATGTGAAAACATTTACACAAAGGCTTTTATTAAATGAAATAATTCAGCATATTCCATGGTAGCAAATCAATTATAAGTGCATTTAAATTGTATTTATGGACATCATAACAGTCTGAATAAGGTCTTCCAACTAAGTTCAAGCAAATGCAACCAAAGAAATAGCCATTAACAGTAAAACACCGGATTTTATGACAAGTAAAGCAAAGGCATATTTGTCACAGCCAAGAATTACGAAGCAGAGCTCACTTACTGCAGACTATCACTACAATGGATTTTAACAGATGGACTAATCTATTCCTAATGATAGATCTCACATCCTATTACTTCAGTAGCACATTATTTTTCTTTCCTTCCTCTCCACCCAAAAGACCAAAGATTTCAGGTTCTGCAACTCTTGTTAGGCAGGGAAGAAAACAGGACACACACACACAAAATGTAAACGTGTTGTGGTCTCTAGTTTTGAAAGCTCATTCAGAGAAAATAGACTGCATGCCACGAGAAAGTGCATTTTACCTGGTGCTATTCAGTAGGGCCAGCTTAAAACCTAAAATTCTGCTTCCAAAATCAACGGTGAGATTTACATCAGAGCAGAAGTACCCATTTCTGGGGTAAAAGAGCTGTAAAATATTTTTAGTCATCACAGAAAGCCTTTTAAATCAGTTCATAAAGCAATACAAAACACTTTTTATTTCCTTGGAGAACAGTGAAAAAACACTAAACATTTAACCATATGAATCTATTTATATATATTTATAATTTGCATATATTATATACACACACAAAACACACAATATACCAAAAGCTAGCAAAGCACTTCAAACAGTTGGTTCCCCCACCCCCAACTCAAGATTTTGAGACCTGAACTAGTTTTATTTTTGCATGTACAGCCTGATAGGAAACCAAGAAGTAGTAATCAGAATATCTGTATTTGATTAAAAATTATATAAAAAGACAGAACATTTCTTTTCAAATAACCTTCTAAATATATATGAAAAGTATCCAGTATTTCCATTAGTGCCAAAGTTGGAAGCTCTCTTTCAAATATTTATAAAGTGAATTTTTCCATATTAAACAGATAAGAAAAGAAACTCTCCTGAAAGATAACTCACTTTCCTTATATTCTTTGGATGGAGTTCCACTGATTCCAATGAAAGGGAAACCCCAGAGATATGACGCAGCCTTGCAGGCTTTGAAACATACCATAATTTTGCAGCATTCATACTGAGGGTAGTTGCCATCTGTCCCCATGTCATACTAGAGGTAGGCTGCTGTTATCCCAAGATAGATTTTTACTTAATTTTCGTTAATCACTTCCAGTCTTTGCTTCGAGGTAGGCTTGAATCTAATCCGAGGCCAACCTAGAAATCACTCCCCTGGCACAGGGGTAAAATATATTATTATGAATGAGCCCTCTAGTGATGGCGATGTCTGTATGCTATCTCAACACCCAGCCCTTCAACAGCATATGTACAATGAGATTCCTCTCAACTGTCGGAAGTTATGATGTGGAATTAGAGTCACAGTACAATGGGAGAGATGTTTGTTCCTGTGCTGGACAGATCCTAGGTTTCTTAACGTGTATTTCCCAAAATCAGGTAACAAAATGTTGGATAACTATATATAAAACAAAGCAGCATGGTAGGGTTTTAAAAATATCAGTAAAATAGTAACGTTGCTTAATTGAAATAATTATATCAGGAAAATCATTATCCCCAGGCTCCACTCTTCAAATGATTGCATATTCAACTCTTCTGCTTATCTAGATAGAAGGCATTGACTGGAAATAAATTGGCTCGAGGCATTTGAAAAGTTTAATTCTACTGAATTTAAGGAGTAGCTCAGAGGGCCAAAGTTACATAATCACTTTCAATCTGACAACCATTGCAACTGGATGCATTTAAGCAGCTGACAATTCATTATAAATACTAGAGAAAATCTAGCCAAAATATAGAGGGCCTGGCGTTTAAAGAGGAATGATTTCAGCACATGCTTAAAGGAACCAGTCTATGTCTCCTGGGAGGCAGGCTAAGCAGCCTTAAGAGACCCAAATCTCTGCAAGGACCTCTCTTGGGGGGTCCTCTGATGCTATGCTGGAATGGGCTGCCAATCTAGATGTTCTCCTGGCAGTCCTTGACCAGCAGAGTGTAGGGAACACCGGGGTAATGGAAATGGCTGTATATGTCCCCATCCAAAGTCTCCAGTACATCCACAAAAATAGTCCAATACCTGCCTAGGAATTCCCAAATTTAAAAATATCCTATTGCAGTCAATGGGAGGAAGGAAAAAAGACAGAACCACCTAGTATGCTAGCTGTTGGGAAACAGCAAGGAGATCGCAGTGGGAAAGTTCTGTTACTCTCCTATCATAAACAATGGGACTTAAAACAAGCTGCACGTAGACTGGTATGTATTCATTAACCTTAGTTGTATTATCTAAAAACAAAACGTCACACCTATGCCTTCTCTGCTAGGAAGCTAACTTTGGATAAGTATTTACTTAAGTAGATTTTTAGCAAAATGCAGAGCTGGTACAAAACAAGTGTGTTAAAAATGAAAATATGTAATGTGCAGTTGCAGATACATTCATTCAAATAGTCCAACACTTACTATGGGAAGTAACACATACGTAGAACTGCATGTTGAAATATCTGCAGAAACTGTAACTGAATAATATTGGCTACACTTACCCTCTCCTTGAAATAACCCAAGTAGCTTCTGTTATCAGAATGTACTGTAATAATAAAATATAACAGAAAATCCCCAGACCAATTTATATGGGATTCTTGCTGAGCCTTTTTAAATTGTTTATTAGAGGTTTTATAGATTCTGTAAATAATCCCTAGAAAGTCAGGCTCAATGCACAAACTTGTTAACTAAACTTGGAATCTTAGTTCTTAATATAGACTACTGCTTTTCTGTGTATCATGTTATATGAGACAACAAGCATGTAATGGATATTTTTGAACTTGGCTTTTTTCCCCATGAAAGAATTATTATTATGCCATGTCACTGCAGAGGTATCTACAGGGGTATGTGTGTGTCAAAAAAGTCAAGATGGCAGGCATGACTCTATGAAGCTCCACTCTTTTCAAGAGTGTCACATGTGTGCCACAAAAAGGGGCAGTGCTTCACACTGTTGCCATCTTGACTTTTTTGACCTCCCTGTAAATGTCCCTGTGTGCCTCTGTAATATTACCACTGATTCAGTTTTAAGTAAATTGCAGTTTTGGTAGGAAAGGTTTCACAAATACCTGGCAGATCTGGATTTGACATAAACATGAACATTAGAACACACCTTCTCTTTTCACCAGTAGGCCAAGACTAGGTTTTGACTTTATAAAGTTATCCAAACTTTTGCAAAGCAAGCCAGACATGAAGCATAAAGAAGATACATGAGTAGAATTAGTCTACCACATATAGAATTATTTTCTCTATTATACTTAGCCAAATCTATACGGTCCACTGATCTTGTGAAAGGCTCAACCAGATGTGTCTGCAGAATCCAAAACTTCCATCAAAATGACAAAAGCAGGATCACACTCTTGCAACATAAGCTCTGCCTCTTGGAATGTCAAAACGCAGGTACAGAAGGAGCGAAGCTTGAATTGCAAGAGTGCAATAAGGCTTTCATCATCTATTGATGCTCTGCAGATGCCACTGGGTTCAACCTTAGTCCATGTTTATGACTCTACCAAGTCTCTCAAAAACAAAAAGCAACTGAACTCAGGTCGGGTATTCTGGATCTTGTCCTGTTTTAATAACTAGCAAAGACTGACCAACATCCACCCAAAGTTCCCTATTTTGTATGTAATAAGGACCGTTAATTTAAAACTAGCCAGGATTTCAAAACGAAGCCAGCATGGTCCAGTAGTCCTTCCTGGCTTCACAAACAAGGGTTTATGAAGTGGGATGTGGCATAGAGAATCCCTCCAAAAGTAGCCAATATAGACAGGGAAAATTATTAAATACATAAGGAGTGATCATGTGAACTTTATTTAACTACTTTATTTGATCTACATTAAATATAACTAAATTTCAATGTAAATTACATTTAGGGAAATTTAATTTTTATCTTGACCTGCTGACGTATTTGTTTTGACCCCATCTCCTTTTTGGAATAACAACCCCATCCTGCCACTTAACAGCCAACTGGTTTTTGGCCTGGAAAAACGCATACCCTTACTGAAACTTAATGCAAAATGTCATGATTTGATGTATGCAATAAGATCTAATAACAATTCTACCTAGATAGTACTAGTTCCAGACATATAAACATGTCATCTAAAAATAAATCATTAACGAAGATGACTTATCAGTAATAGTTTTAGTAAAAAACTTTGCTGTTTGGAAAAACTTTCTAAACTCCGTGGCAAGCTGCTAATAACATGATCATTCATGACTACTAAGTTTCTACAAGATTGACTGGTGCTAATACTGAAACTAACTTGAACTGAGGACACATTCTCTTATAAACTGATACAAATATCTCAAAGAAACCACTTCAAGAAATAACATTTTGATATTGTCCTTCATTACAATTATTCATTAATTTGCTGTACTTGTGCAGGTAAACTAAAAACCTAATTAACTCTTGGAAGAATGTTTGGCTTAAAAGATAGTGAACAGAAGAAAGAAACTAGATGATTCAGTACATTGTAGATTATAACCTTATACCGAACTATAACATAAAAACAGTTTTAATGGAAGACATATGAGAGAGCAGGAGTAGTTTGCCACTTTTTGCTATCATCTGTAAATTAACATTGTGTACAGTTATGCTTTGGTAGTTCATAGATACGGATTTTTTTAATGTATTGCAGGAACATGGCCAATTGACTTTTCTGTTTCATCACTGCCAGACTATTAACCTACTGGAAGTTCTGCCATCTTCATGACAGATCATTTTAATTTCACCGCTTATCCAAAGTTATGAATATAGACACTGAAAGTGCTTAAGAGCTACAAAGGAACAGCATAACCACAACTTACAATGAGAATCCAAAATTGAAGCCAAAAAACTGAAGAAATTTGATAACTTAAATAGGTGTCTATCATAGGCACAAGCAACTAACATTGGCCAAGCTGGCTGGAGATGATAAAAGTTGGTCTAAAACATCTGAAGGGTATTCAATTTCCTGCCCCACTCTAATAAATCTTGTTGACCTAAACTAGTCCCCAAGTCTATTCCTTTTCCTTATGCCTGTACACTGACATTCCTCCAGATAACTTCAACAGAATAATCATGGTAAATTAAAAAAAAAATCCTAAGGTTTATAATCTTTAGTTAATTTATGGGTTTTGTACAGAAAGACTTTTTTGTTGTTTATTTCTTCAGAAAAATGCAGAAACACTCAGAAGTAAATTCCCAAATTGAGAATGATTCACTGTGCTGATTAAACACTAACAATGATTTTTTAGGAATGTGGTTCAATTTCTGATGTACATTTAGAGAAAGATTAAGGAAAGTTTAAACTAATTTCACATTGCCTAAACAGCAGAATTGGACCAAAAGCAATTTCTGACAAATAGTATAAGAATTTCTGCCTGTTTTAATAGACTTTCTAGCTAATTTCCTTTCATGTGTGGTCATATGTGCATGCAAGAAAAATTAGCTGAAAATTAATTGAAATATGAAAGTAAAGCTCTGCACTGAAAAACAGTTTGCAGGTTGCATTCCTATTTAAAAGTTAGTTACGTATTTTAAGGAAAGAGTCTATATTTTGGGTAAAGCTTATTACACTGATTTAAAACCATTTGATAAAATGTTCTAGTTGTGTCGATACAGACTTTCTAATATACACTGAATTAACATTCTTCACAGTAGCTTAAATTCTATTTCAAAAAGTTAGCCCTTTTTTGAGTAAAAAGCAATATTGCACCATTCAATAAGGCAGTTGTCTCTTATTCTTTTTGACTAAACTACTGCATATTCTGAATATTAAAATCTTCAACAGTCACAGATAAAAGCAACTAAAACATCTAATCAATTAGACCTAAGTTTCAATATTTTATTTAACAAGTCAACTCAAAGTACTATTCTTGGTATGTCTAAATTACTTCAGTTGAGGGAGAAAAATAGTATTCTGTGTTTAGGGGGCATGGTGTGACGTCTAAAACAACCCAGATTGTCGTGCAATAGAAATCTAGAAAAATTAGAAGTGCAACTTGCACATTCTAATACCCTTATAGTGTGATGGGTTGAAATTCATTGTTAACTAAGACGACGCAAGTAAAGCTAAACACAATGAAGTGTTTGGCTGAATCAGAGCCTAGCAGATAAGAAGTTGTTTCTTCCCTCATAAATCCATTACCCCTTCATTTCTCTGCCCATGGAATTTTGTTTTTTGGCAGGTAAGTCTGCATTCCAAAGGATGCTGAGGCACCAGCTAGATGTAGGTTTCAGGGTATAGGCTGCACATAGCTTGGAAAGGTGAGCAAAAGTTTAAAAAAAAGAACAACTGCCATTCCATCAACTTGATAGGCATTATTGATATGCACATTGAGGTACTCCAGGCTCTTCAGAACACACGTTTTAGAATATACAGAAGCATGCCTCTTTTCCTATCTTTGGAGAGACTTCAGTATTCGCTTGCTGAAAACAACTCACAAAAGAAAAAGATCTGAGTTTTGCTGAGGAAAAACAGTCATATAAAAAATGCCAGGAAAATTGGTTACAAAAAGTATTTTCAAATTCAGGATTGGAATCTTTTAATCTCAAAAAAGTTTATTCATGTATGTATGTATGTATGTATGCATGTATGTATGTATGTATTAGATTCCAACCTTATTTTTATTCTGTATTTCGGAATCTCAATAATAATTATGGGCATGAATCTAGTCATTCCACTAATTCAAAGAAGACACAGTGGAAGTACAATTAACAATTTTTGCTTTGCAGGATAATAAGTACTAATGCAGATTATATATGCCACAATCCCCTTTTTTCCCTTTTTTCTAGTGTTCCCAAATCAGTTACCACATTAGAGCTGAAGAATCAGGAATGCCCTGAATATGGCCAGGACAGATTGAACTTTGAAGAGGACAGTCAGAGGATGTCTGAGCAACCCACATTTATTTGCCCACATTAAGCCAGGAGTTTTTAAACCACAGTTTGTTGGACAAGTCACAGAGGCCCGTTCTGCACGCAACAAACACTTTGCCATACCAGGTGCATCATATTAATCCCCAAAGAAGCCTCAGAACATCCTAATCCTAGGTGTGAACATGGCTAAAGGGTATAACTGACTTTTATCTATAAATTTTATCTATAAATAATATTCATTTGAAAAATAATTTATTGGGCAGTAATTCTGTTGCAGATAGTGATTTAAAGTGTCACTGCACATCAAAACAGCAAGGTTGTTTCTAATATATCATTTCCATAATTTTATACTAACAAGTATTAAATAGCAATAAATTACGTCCTAGTGAATTTCAGTTCCTACACTGTCTACAAATCCCTCTAACCTTTCCAAATGAAACCATTCCAAATATGTAAGATTATGATACATGCTATAATCCAATTTAAACAATGTCAAGTGAGCATTCCTCTTTAATTTTATTGAATAACTTTGGTCAAAAAATACAATTTCTCTCTGTTTACCAAGCTATGTTTAGTAAACCTATATCACTATTCTCTAGATTTTTCCTCTCAGAGGAAATAGAGGGCGAAATCCAATGACATCTGTCCACCAGTAAACTGCACATAATTAATGGAACATCTTTCCATTTCCCCAGCAGTCAGGAGCTAAGCTCTCGTGTCCTCTTGCATTGCTTGAGACAAATTGAAGGAAGTGGTAATTATAATGGGCTGCTTGTGAACCTTCCAGAACCATCTAGTCTGCCAACTGTTGGAATCGAAATCCTGGATTATACAAAATCCTGGATTATACAATTTTTTAATCAGATTCCAAAAATCCATACTGTAGATTTTTTTAAAAATAAAGAAAATGAAGTTTTGAAATGTTAGGAATGTCCTCAACTCCTTTGATAATCAAAAAAATATACATATATTCAGGTTCAGACTTAATTTCTCATTGTTCTTGGTCTTTATAACACAGATAAACATGCTGACAAAAATTCTTAGTTTTTTGTCTTAAATGAATTTGTAGAGGCAAGAGTGAATTGCAATTTATTTTAACTGATTCTGGAATCAGTGGCAAGAAATTTTGCAATTCAGGAGTGTAAATAATCAAAAGCTAATGGGGGCTACTGCACCCATATTGTATACAGCATATTCCTTTAATCTGCAGGTTGATTAAAATAACAAAGCAAACATGATGATCTGATGACACTGGGCACATTCTAAACAGGTTCATCTGAAGACACAATCCTGAATGAAAGAAAAAAATGGTAGCTTTTCATGGCTGATTCTAACATAATTATTTATGTATAAAACTTATGTAAAATATATTCAAGATTATTTTAACTCACCAGAAAGTAGTCTTGGATTGGGCATGGAGGAGGCTTGATAACAGTTTTCATACAAGACGTTGGAAATGTCAAAATAGGCACTGAGGAGAGATTTTCAAAGTAGCCCTGAGCTAAGGGTGGGAACTCACTACCTTTCTTTTGACAAGAGTCAGAGACAATATTACCTGCCCTCATTCTGAAGCTCAACATCATCATTTAGCGAAATGAGGCTAATGGTGATCTCAGAACATGACCGTCTGATAGAGCCTTAAAATATCTGTGAATGCATCTTAAGAAAAATATCAGGGAAAGTTTGGGCAAACATTTTGGACTTCTCAAAACCTCAATGATATGCTAGAAAAAATTATGAAATAATACTTAGGTAAGCAGTAAAAGAATTTAAAATTCATTTAAAAACCCCTATGAAATGCTTACAACAACCCCCTTGCTTAATATGTATCTTAGTTACAATTCTGGTTAGCACCTATTTTCTGTGCCTTTTTGCGTGTTCTAAAGCCCTACTGAAATTCTCCAGCAATAAAAAAAATTCATTATGTTGCAATCAGTTTTACAAGGAACACTTATTAAGTACAAGAAGCCAAATTCTACTGTCAAATTATGTTTGTCTCTTTATAATACAGATCCAAGAGTTATCTGGCAGTAATTTCAGTCAAAGAATAAACAAGCAAATCTTATCTTAGGGCAGTTGGCTTTAACTATGGAAAAAGTTGTTCAAATAACGCTATAAAGATAGTCTCAGTGTTACCACGTGAGACCTTTTCACTGTTGAAAACTTGAACGTACCCCGTGCAAATCTGCAGAACCAAAAATTGAAGATGGGAATAAACAGTAGACGGGCTTACAAAGGCTATATTGCACAGAAACAGGGATAAACAACATTTGGCAAACAGTTATCCTGTGATTATTTTTCAATCTTTAAAAATGTCTAGTCCTCAAGAGTGCAGAGTTAAACAGAGAAATGTGTGATAAAAATACTGAATGAGCATTTTTTAAAATTCTTGTGAATGTGGAGTCTGATTATAATTTATCATCTGTTTATTCCTGCTCTGAACATTTGAGAACATTAACATAACAGTAGAAATAATAAATTTACCAATATTAATTTGGCATATATTACAATGCAAATATATGCAAAAAGCTATTTATTTCCAATAATGCCCAACCCACACAGCTTAGAATAATTTTTCCCGCTTCTGTCTTGATCTCTCCAGGGCATGTGATCACAATTTACACTAACAGCTGATTCAATTAACTAAGTTACAATTTTATAAAAATGTATGGCATATCATCTTGTGCAAACAGATACTGAACTAACAGAACTTGAATAGGATGATGTGAATAAGGTCCAGTATAAAGAAAATCAAATCAATATACTATAGCTGGAACTTTTATTAAAGTAAATGCACCTATACTTTCAATGTGTGGAAAATTTAGTAAATTCATTGGTAGCACTCTCAGCTTTCCAGATGATTTTATTTTTTATATATATCAAGAAAATTACATTAATCTTATAAAGCTATCTTTGGTTAGCTCAGACCATTAGTCTACTTAGCCTAATTTGAACTACTTCCATTATGGTGGAAGCCTTCTGTGTTTTCAAGCAGGTCCTTGCCTGTAGCCCTATCATTTAGAAACTTTTAAATGGGAATGCCAGAAAGTGAGCCTGAAAATATAAACTCTCATCATTTTTTCTATGTGAAATTAGGAAACAATAAATAGAGCTATACTTGATATTTCCTCAGGATGTACACTGGCCATGAAGCAGCAGGTCAGAACAAGTTATGAGTGAATTTTGGATGGATCATGTGTGCATTCAGAGATGTACAATATTTCAACACAAATATAAGACTGCAACATAACACCTTCAAGTTAGAACACAGATGTGATTATCACATGATATACTCTTTCAGAGTTAACTGTCAGCTGCCCAGTTGGGTAAATACTATGATTTGAAGGCATCCCTGACAAACACAATTTACAGGCAAATAAAGAGCTAAAAACATAAAGCCTCAGATTTTCCTTAATCTAACTTTTGCTTGACTCTGGTAGTTAAGCTAGACAGTTGAAGACCAAACCATAAAGGAAATAACAGTTTGTGTTGAATTCATCCCTTTTCTTACTTTTCTACCAAATCTCAAGAAAGACATTTCCTATTCTCTAGTTATGTTTGGAATAACATGCTTTTTGAAGACAATGAGAAAACTGGATGAGTATCTGATGGAAATGCTAGTTCAAGAGAGTCTTATCAGTACAGTAGAGGTGTTTTCAACCAGATAGCCTTATTTTGGAAGACAATTCCAGGCCTACCTGAAATCTTTTAACATTGTCATAGCATTAAAGCTAATTTAATAGTTCTGAAGTTCACATAAGAGTCAGCCCTAGCTTAATATTCTGTGTTTTAATTAAATTTTGTGCTTTTTTATATTTATTATAGGCAGACGTTCTCGATAATAGAGATTTGTAATATACTCCATCAGCGGTTTCTCTACCCCCCCACCCCGAAATAAAATTTATCTCTGACTTGTCATCATACAACAGCATCAAGGGCTCCCATTCTTGCTCTTGTTTTCCCAACTTGGGATACCTATCTCATCCCACTGGAGTTAATATCGAAGGACAAAATCCACCAGGAAGGTCTTGAGCACAAGCCGTATTTATATTAATATGTGGTAGTGCTCTTATATGAATTCCTTTATTTTAGTAGGTCATCTGTAGACATTATTTCCAATCATCTGTACCCAAACTTTCTACTGATTCTTAAGCATTAGCTCAATTTACACCACAGCTACAATAGTCTATCTCATGAGCCAAAAGAAGATTAAATTACACTAAAGCACAAAAACCTATGAAAGTGCAAGCCAGTGTGAAGGCTTTTATTTCTGATCTTGAAAGAACTTTATAATCAATGGAATTTTTACATACAGACATCTGCTTTGCTGCACTCATATTTTACATGTTGGGAAGTGGGAAACCAGTTTGTCCTTCTAGTTTCTCTCCCCTGAAGTAATCGCTGCTTGAATTAAACTGTTGATCTAGTAATGCCATAAAAAGCAGGGGAAAAGCTGCTGGGTTGGATCACATCCCTGAATTAATGTTGATGAAGTCCATCGGGCTGCCCATGTTTATTCTGAGCAGAGCCTTTAGCACTGTGAGATGTACATTTTCCAGTACTTGCTTCTAGGAAGATATCCTGGAACCCATACTATGTTGGTATGTATGCTGATTTCCATCCAAGTTCATTTAAAATCAGACTCCTTTCCCACGTGTGGTTTTTTTTTGCTTAGGACTGCTGGTGATTGTACCCCAACTAGCCTTCTTTGGGACAGATACAAAAGATGCTCAATCTTCAGGTCTGAGTTCTTCTCACGCTTAAATTTCTTGTCCCTTTAGCAAAGCATCATCCCATTATCCTTAAAGGACAAGCACTAGACGCTAAATCAAGACTGTTCACATTAGAATTATTTACCACTTCTGGGAGAGCTGCTCTTGTGAAAAATGTAGCTTATTTCTAAAGTTTAGTGTGTGTCTCTGTGTGTATGTGTGTTTTATTTACTTCATTCTAGGAAAAGTAGCATCACTCAATCTTGGTTTTAAGTGATTCCAAAGTTTAAATACTGATCATGATGCAGTATGAAAGACAAATGTCCTGACAGGCAAGTTGTTCAAAGTATTAAAAAGAGATATTGTTCCTGTTCTTTAAAGAAAGATGCATATAGCTGCTCCTGATTCAAAACTTGGTAAAGATTTTGTTAGTTTTTCCTATATTGCTGCATATAGGTTTTTGAGAAGTCCTTCCCCTTGAAATACATTTTTTTGCTGTAGAGTGCCAGCCTTCTATGGCCGTCAGTGCTCAAGGAGGTGGGAAGAGTCACACTGCACAGTTGCAGCAAGGGAACCCTACTATACACAACTCCGTATTGTTTCTGGGCTTCAGTCAATAAACCTCTGGCAGGCCTTCTTCCAACGGCAAGCTGTACACCACATATCTCTATTCTCCATCCCATACACTTTGCGACATTTCTTGCCCTCTCCTCTAGGTTTTCTGCCAGAAAGTTCAAAGAAAAACTGTTATTAAGGTAAGATGATGATGTTGAAGATGGTAATTTAAACTTCCCCTTTCCCGCCCTATGTGCCCAAGGCAGTTAGCAGGCAAAATGAATGAATGAATATATACATATACATACACACACACACACACACAAATAAAAAGAGGTAAAACAGCAGCTCAAATAATATTTAATTTCATTTAATACTATAAAATTATCACTAACTATAAAAGGCAAGCAGAAAAGGAAGCTCTTTACTCCCATTGTAAATGTGGATAGTGTAAGCAGATGATGAACGGACCTATAACAATAAGAGAAGTATGAGTCTATAAAAAAGATCAAAACAGGGAAAGCACCAGGACCAGATGGATTACCTGCATCTTATTATAAATGCTTTGAAGATGAACTGATACAACCTCTGCAAAAAATGATGAACTCTATTTTGGAAATGGGATTGATACCAGAAAGTTGGAAAGGAGTGAATATTGCTTTAATTCATACAGAAGGACAGGATCTGACTTCACCAAAAAAATGATCAACTAATTTCTTTATTGAATAATGACTTATAAAATATTGACTATGGTTCTAGCTGAAAAAATGAAAGGTGTTTTGCAGGACTTCATACATGAAAATCAATGTGGCTTTCTGCCTAAAAAACAGTTGAGGGACAATATAAGAAATATTTTTAATATACTAGAATATTTGGAACAACATAATGAAAAACAAGCCGTGTCGATATTTCTTGATGCAGAGAAAGCATTTGACAATTTGAACTGGATTTTTTTATTTAAAAATTTGGGAAAAAATGGATTTTGGAAGTAACTTTATTAAATGGGTAAAATCGATACATACATCACAAACAGCAGAAATTATAGTCAATGGTGAATTGACTAAACCCTGTGAGATACAAAAAGGGACAAGACAAGGTTGCCCACTTTTACCATTGCTATTTATTTTGGCTTTGGAAGTTCTTTAATAGAGATATAAGACAAGTTGAGAGAATAAATGTGAAAAAAGAAGTATATAAATTAAGGGCATCTGCAGATGATTTGGTTTTAATAGTTTAAAATTCCTTGGAAGGAATAGACATATTAATGGAAAAGCTGAAGGAATTTGGTACACTATCTGGATTTAAAATTAATGAAGACTAAAATGTTAACAAAAAATATGAGATTGGAAGATAAAAAAGAATTGATTGGAAAAACAAGTTTTCAGATTGAGAAAAAGGTAAAAGATCTGAGTATTACTGTGTCCAATATGAGTTGTAAGTTATTTCAGAATAATTATATTAAGATATGGAATGAAATTAAGAAAGATCTACTAAGATGGGAAAAATTGCACTATCATTGTTTGGAAGAATTTATGTGATAAAAATGAATGTATAAACTGGAATGATGTTTTTGTTTCAAATAATATCAGTTTTGAAAAATGATGCACTTTTTAAACAATGGCAAAAAGATGTCTCTAGATTTGCAAGAAACCAAGGCTTAAATATAAAATTCTGCAGGATGCAAAAGAGAGAGGAGGGCTAGGATTACCTGATTTTAAACTGTATTTCACAGGCTGTTGTTTGGTTTGTATGATGAGAAATAAAAGAATGTTAGAATTGGAAGTTCATAACTTGAGGTTTGATTGGCATGGGGTTTTATGGTATAATAAAGTTAAAATTAATGTGGATTTTAAAAATTATTATGTGAGAAGTGCCAGATTGAGTGTATCAAATAAATACAAGTCCAGGCTGTGCCCAAAGATACCTTTATTAACCTAAGCACAGGAAGCATTCTATAGAAGAGAAACAGCAGATAGAGAGAAATGTTTAACACACCAAGATTATTAATACAGAAGGATGTAGAAATTTAGATGAAGTCAAGAGAACAACTGACTGCAGAAGGGCATAGTTTACAATGGTTTTCATATGCCCAGTTAAAAGAAAGACTCAATATGGATAAAAAGACAATTGAAATTGAAAAACACAAAATGGAATTTGAAATTGAATTATGTACAAATGATGAACATGTAATAGCAAAAATGTACAAACTTTTGTTAAGACTTGAAACAGGAGAAGAACGGGATAAGGATTGCATGACAAAATGGGCTATTAACTTTGGATATAACATATAGATGGACACTTGGGAGAGAATGTGGGTAGCTCTTATTAAATTTACACTATGTCATAATTTAAGGAAAAAAATAATGAAATGATGTATCATTGGTTTATGACACCAGAGAAATTATCAAAAATGTACAGGTATTTCAAACCAGTGTTGGAAATGTGAAAAACATGAGGGGACATTTTATCATGCATGGTGGACTGATGAGAAAGCTAAGAAATTTTGGATACATATTCACACAATGGTGCAAAGGATTTTAAAGATTAATATTGTGAAGAAACCAGAATTCTTTTTATTGGAATTCATGGACAATGAATTAGAAAGACTCATGGTAGACTGATTTTGTATATAGTAACTGCAGCAAGATTACTGTTTGCACAAACAATGGAAGAATAATTAAATCCCTACAGCGGAGGAACAGATTGTGAAAATGTCAGAATTTGCAGAAATAGCAAAACTGACCCGTTTGGTCAGAGAAAAAAAAAACCAAAAACTTTTCTGAAAGACTGGAAACCTTACATGGACTTTTTGCTGAAAGAAGAAAAAAAATGAAATTATAATTTATGGATATGAAAATTAAGAAAGATGTGGATTAAATGAGGGGCTGAAGGGACTTGTATAACATCTAAGAGGCACAATAAGATTGCAATTATCTGTTGAAAAGAAGGTCAGAAGTCATTCATATATTTTTTAACTTTAGAGGGTTTTTTTCTTTTTCATTTCTTGCACTTTCTTATTTCTTTCTCTTTTTTTTTCCATTTTGATTTGTCATTTGTTCTATGAAAAAACTTGTTAATAAATACAAATAAATGTGGATAGTGTGAAAGCTTAGCACAACACCTCAGTGTATGGCTTCCATAGCTGGGGCAGCAAAGAAGAAAACCGTCTTCCACCTGACTGAAAATGAGACTATGAAACTAGGTGCATCTTTAAGAGGGCTTTTCTGCAGATGTTGGTATGTAGACAAATTCATATTGAGATCTCTATTCAAAACACTGGCCAAGCAAAATAATTGGAAGTGTCACTAGAAATCTAGGAATTATTTGTAAGGCCAAAGATCATGAACTTTGGGCCAAAAATAGGTAGAAAAAATATGCAAGAGTACATGATGGAACCATGCTTCAAGGGATGAAGAATTTTGATGGATATTGCCAAGAAAGATTCTAGTTTTCTGGTAGGTGGTAGCAAAATATGTAGAAAGAAGATTAATGGAACAGCATACATCTGTTGCATCTTTAGAATATTTAATGAGTCATAAATTTTACAATTTTTTTACAAATAAAACACCCTTTTCTGCAACATCTTCTGCAATATCCTGACATGAAAACGCCACTCTTTCCAGTCTGTTAAATGACAACATATTTTTGTGTTTCTCTTCTATCCAAACCCCTATAGCTTCCTCCAAACTACACAAAACACTTATACTGTATATTTCTTTGATTTTTTCTTCTCTTTCTATCTGTATTCCCTCGCTAGGAATTACTATTTTTTCTTCTTTAATTTTAAAAAGATTGAAAGTGGCTTATTTTTTTATGAACTGAAAAAAAGTAATTGCCACTTAAAAATAAATTGTGTTAAAAATAATTTATCTGCATTTATGTTGAGAAGAAATTCAGATTAAAAACAGGTTGACCAGAGAAACCCTCCACTCATTAATTAATACACTTCATTCAGAAGTAAGACGCCTCCTACCTTAGGCCAACTGATGCTCTAGGTGGTGATGAAAGAACTGCATGAATCTGATGCTTTTGTTCTCCACTCCCCACATGCCGTGTGTGAGTTGGTGAAACCTAGCAATAGAAACAATTATCGAGTTCTAATTGCAGAATTAAAAGATACAACCTGGATCACAAAATCAAGTTATCTACCTTGTACTGAGTTTTAAGCTGTAGGTTCTCCACCTTACTTACATGGACTTTCTCACAATGAAACAGACTACAGGACTCAGTGGATGGCTCCATCTCAATTATGCAAGGCAGAAAGAAAGAAAACATTAAATGTTTTGGAGCATCTAAACATACAATACTCTCGTGAAGGACTTTACATTCCTGTTGACCATCTGCTCCTGATACCAGAGAAGGGTTCCAGTCACAAGAAGGGGTTCAGTGAACCAGGGAAATTTGTTAGACTTCATGGTTTAATTGAACATACCATACTGTTCCCAGCCTAGTCCTGAAAACATCTATTTTTGGATCTTTTTCAAAAGCATCCAAGAAAGAAAACATTATAATCTGTGCCAGTGAATAACTACTCAGTACTCAGATTGGCTTCACTGTTCCTCTTAAGAGCCAAGGCACCCCTAAAGGGTACTGCATGGAACAGAGTCCTCCCCCATTTTTATTAAAAACTAAGGTAGGGAGAGCATGCAGACCATAAAGCTTCTGGAATTCTTTCCAACCCTTTTACCAGCAGCCGATATGGGAAGTACTGTATCTGTATGTTCTTCTGTACAGTCAAAGATCAAAGCGAATAAACCATAAGGTAAAAAACCCCTTCATATTAAAATGTGCATAAAAGGGGAAATCAGCCTAAACAGTAAAGAAAGTTATCAAAATCAACAGACAATAGCTGTAGCAATTACAACAAATTTAGCAACCTTTCTAGAGGTATCTGGTGATACGTCAGCTAGGAGGCGGCAAATAAACTCCTCCTCCTTCTGGGTAGTGGAGCAGCATGTTCCATATGTGTTTGTCTGCATGTGTGCATATATATGTACTTTCTTCCCAGGGGCCAGACCAAGCATGGTGCATGCATATATGTTGTGTATGAGGATCTAATCAGGATGATGTGTGGGTGTTTTGTCTGTGTTCATGTTTCTGGTTTTCCCTCATGTTGCATCTGTGTGGCTGTGTATGTGTGCATTTGGAAACACAAGGCTGAGTGCAAATGCACTGCTCAGGGTCATGTGATCAGGAGGGAGGGGGACACAGATCAGAGGAGTTGGTAGCATTATCTTCCTGATTGACAAACAAAGTCCCAGGTCCCCTTACATATTTTCTTGGTAGGAAAGAACACAAATGGCTAAAATCCCTCAAGTTGTCCAATGGAATCTCAGGAGGCTTCAGGTATATTAATCTGGTTTAATTTTAAAAATAATTGTAATTATTTAAGAATGTGCTTGCATGTGAGTGTGTAAAGCCCATGACATTAAACAAATCATGTAATAGTACCTCCCTCCTTGAAAACCCTCCTGGTTTAGCAGATATTTCTTTTCAAAATTTAATATCATTATGTTCTCTCATTTGATCCTCTGTTTCCTCTTGGAAATTTGGCATTGATTGACATGGATACCTACTGTAAGTGGATATCTGACCATATACTTGTATCTCTGGCACTTGTTTTAACCTAGCACATTCTCATCTGTAGGGTGAGAAGGGCAAAATATTCAATTGTTGTTGTTCAGTTGTTAAGTTGTGTCCGACTCTTCATGACCCCATGAACCATATTGCG